AGGGGATTTACAGAAACTGCTGGCCGACGTACCGAGTGACCTGGCAGCACTGTTGAAGCAGTACAGCGACATTTTCCCAGACGATTTACCGACGGGACTGCCACCTCAGCGACCGCACGACCACAGGATAGAGTTGGAACCGAAGGCACAGCCAACAGTACAGCGACAGTTCCGACTGACCTAGCACGAACTGGACGAACTGAGGAAGCAGCTCGATTACCTGCTCGAGAAGGAATTCATTCGCCCTAGTTCGTCGCCCTTCGCAGCACCGATACTGTTCACACCGAAAAAAGACGGGGGATTTCGCATGTGCATAGATTACAGAGCACTGAACAAGGTTACCATCAAATCCCGTTACCCCATCCCGCGAGACGACGAACTGATCGACCAACTGCGCACAGCCCGGGTTTTCTCGAAAATCGATCTCCGCGGGGGTTACCACCAGATTCGCGTCAATCCACCCGACTGCCCTAAGACCGCATTTCGAACACGCTACGAATCCTTCGAATACACCGTCATGCCCTTCGGACTGACCAACGCCCCCGCCACTTTTCAAATGACCATGAACGAAGCTTTCCGCCCGCTCTTAGATAAGTGCGTCATCGTATACCTGGACGACATACTAATCTACAGCCCTAACAGAGCACAGCACTTACAGGACATCGAAGCAGTTTCTAAAATACTGAGTGAGAACTGCCTACTGACAAAAGCGTCTAAGTGTGAGTTTTTACAGGACCGCCTGGAATTTTTGGGACACGTTATTTCAGCTGCAGGAGTGGAAATAGACCCGAAGAAAATTGCGACGATTCAAGCATGGCACGCGCCGACCAACTTGGCCGAGTTGCAGAGTTTTTTGGGGTTCGTCAACTACGTGCGCCGGTTCGCCCCCGACATGGCGAAGCTGACTGCCCCGCTGACAGACCTGCTGAGGAAGGGGGTTGAGTACAAGTGGGGGGAGAAAAAGCAAGCTGCCTTCTCGGCCCTCAAAAACATTTTGTGCTCACCGCCCGTGCTTCACATCGCAGATCCACACCGTCCGTTCGAGCTCGTCAGTGACGCAAGTGACATCACTGTGGGAGCAGTACTGTTGCAGGACTTCGGGAACGGCCTCCAGCCAATCGCGTACGAGTCCCGCAAGCTGCACCCGCCCGAACGCAACTACCCGATACACGACCGCGGAATGTTGGCGATCGTGCACGCGTTCAAGGTTTGGCGGTGTTACCTGACGGGCGCCGACGTGACAGTACGGACAGACCACCGATCACTACAGTACCTACGCGCCCAACCACATCTCAATTTCGCGACAGATCCGCTGGTTGGACTACCTCGAGTCCAACTTCCACTACACGGTTACGTACAAGAAAGGCGCCTCCAACATCGCCGACGCACTCACTCGCCCTACCGCCCAACTCCATGCCATCCTACTCGCCCAAACCAACCCGCTGTTAACAGGCCTATTCACCCACGGATACCGCACCGACCCGTTTTTCACGGCCGGAAATTCACAGCAACTGGCAGAAGCTAAAGGAGTTTATTACGTAAAAACAGGCACCAACCGCATCTGGGTACCCGCGTACTCACTACTGAGGGAGCTGCTACTGCAGGAGGCACACGACGGAATTACCTCGGGACATTTTGGGGTAGAAAAAACGCGACAGCAACTGCAGCGGTATTACTACTGGCCGGAGCTGTTGACCGACGTGCAGCAGCACGTGGGCTCGTGCCCCACGTGTCAGGTGATGAAGAGCTCGAGGAAGCGGAAGGCGGGTCAATTGCAGCCGATACCACCGCTCGAGCGCGCCTGGCAGCAGGTTACCATGGACTTCGTCACAGGGTTACCTTCGAACCCTGGGGGTAACGACGCGGTGATGGTCGTCGTTGACAGGTTGACGAAGATGGCACACTTCGCTGCGTGCAAAAAGTCGATCTCAGCCGAGGAGACGGCTCGTCTGTTCATCGCAGCCGTTGTTCGCCTGCACGGGATACCAGCAGCGATTATCAGCGACAGGGACACGAAGTTCACCACCAACTTCTGGAAGAACCTCTGGGAGCAGTTCGGAACCAGGCTGCAGTTCAGTTCGTCGTACCACCCCGAGACCGACGGTCAAACGGAGCGGACAAATCAGACGATGGAGCAGTTGATTCGTGCCACATGCAACGACCCCACGACTTGGGAGCAGCAGCTGCCGCTGATCGAGTTCGCGTACAACAACGCCACGTCAGCGACGACGCAACAGTCCCCCTTCTACCTGAACTACGGGCAAAATCCTACAGTGCCCATGACGCCGAGTCCGGACAACCCAACACCACGCGCACAGCAATTCGCCGAAATTCTGCAAGCTGCCCGCACCAGAGCCGCAGAAGCAATTAAAAAAGCAAACGTCATTGCTAAGCGCAACGCTGACCGCCACCGCCGCCCAGTCACATACCAGTCAGGGGATTACGTACTGCTCGACACGCAAAATCTGCGACTGCCCGACGTACCAAAACTTCGACCGCGCTACTGTGGCCCATTCCAAACCAGCCACATGATCACGCCAGTAACCGCGCACCTACTATTACCGACCGACTGGTACATCAGCCCTTCGTTCCATGTCAGCTTGCTTCGCCCATACATCCCAACCACAAGCCAACTGCCTCGCCACCGCCCGCCATCCATGACTCGCCGTACATCAGAGCCGATCATCGAACCCGAAAAAATTCTGAGTCATCGGATTCGCCACCCCACGGGAATCAGGAGGATTGAATTCCTCGTTCGCTGGAAGGACCGCACGCCAACTGAAGATAGGTGGGTGCCCCTGGCCAACATTGAAAACCACCCTGCCCTGCAAGTGTACCTGAGGAGCCGGGGATTCCGCGATATACATGCACTCGCGTAGCGGAGGGGGCTTCTTGAGGGGGGGGGGGGGGGGGGTAGTGTAAGGAATTTTCTCGGCATTCCTTACGGAGCCCGACTACATCGCGTACAGCAACAGCCGTTGTTCGCCCGTTACTGTTAACGGGACTTCGCCAACTTCGCGCGCACTGTTTTGCCAAACCTTGCACTGCTGGCCCGGCCGTGTCGGCCTACGCTTCGGGACTAGCCCGAGCCTCGCTGCCAGCGTAGCACTAGCTAGCTCGCACGCACCGCGTTACCGTTTGCATGTTTCGCGTATAAATGTTCGCTCATGCCTTCGCTCACATCTTTGTACTCGTTTGACACCTTAGTGCAATTCTCGCTACTTAGATTCATTGCACCCTTAATTTGTATTCTAGCAATTTATGTTCGAAGCTCTCTGAATGTTCTAGGTTGTGGGCCACGGCTGGAGAACACAGATTAGGTTGTTGAGGACAGGATCTCTCCACACCGCACGCCACGCGTCGTTGAGATGAGGAATGCACTTCAGTACCTGTGTCCAGCATGCGTGTAGTGCTGTACCCTGTTATTTCTGTGTGGTGTGAAATTGAGCGCTTGATTTCGTGAGAGATACTCATAGAAGCCCCAATCATGGCAGAGGTCGATCAGCGGATGATGATTGCGTCGCGACGCGAAACGAGGACACTGTGCTACTGTATGCATTGCAACGTCGGTCTTAGGACGCGGCACCTGTTTTCATTTTGCCAGGATCGATCGTGGGAGGGGATCGATGTGCCGCTTGTACAGTATATTGGCGACATCGCCAATGCTTGGTAGCCGTTTTTCGCTGAACGTCGAGAAGGTACAGTAAACGGGTACCCAAATTGGTGGCACCTGCAGCTCGCACGATCGATGTGCCGTGGTGCATGTGTTAGGGTTGGCGGGAGAGCATATCGCGCCACAGGTGACAGCCTCGATCGATCGGCGTCGCCCTCGGTCGCAGGCCAAAAATTCTTGAGTCGCTGCGAATGGAATTGCTGCACGACCATCCACGCTCTGCCCTGATTGGCTGCGCGTTTAAGTGTAATGGCAGCTCCAACCTCCCGAGCCTGCATTTTCGAACCTGGCACCTAATGCTCGATGTGTCTACCCCACTGCAAAATTGCAGTGTGGGCACATCGGTGTGCCGATCGATATGCCAGGATCGATGTGAGGCCACGATCCTTGTAGAATGAAAACAGGTGCCGCGTCCTTTTAGACCGCCACCGCGGTGCAGTAAACCCGGCACTGCCGCTGAGCGTCGGCCCTGGGGATATCTGATGGCCCTCTTGCTCGGAGTTGGTTCCCGTGCTTGTTACTCGAGCGTTGATTCACTCCACCAAGCGGCAAGAATCACACCATGCTGGCCAAAACGGCCTGTTCTGAGTGAACTAGGATGTTTCAATCTCGGATTCGACAGAGTACTTTTCTTAGGTCATTTCTCTCTAATCAGCCGCAAAAGATTGACGAGATGGAGACCTCAGTATCTTGTGAGATGTTCCAAGTCGTAGTTACTACCCATGATGTATCTGACACCTCTCAGCTGTTGAGCGAGGGCCGTTGGGCGCATAGCAGCAGGAGCAGCAGCGTCAGCAGCTTGAGCAGCCTCAGCGCAGGCAAAGACATTGGGATCGATTGTGACGGCAGCAGCAGTGACAGTGACAGTGATACCAGTAATGACAGTGGCTATTCAGGCGGCCTGGCAGCAGAGGACGGGGCGGAGCGGGGCAAGGAGCATCCTGAGGATGCGGGAGAATCATTTCCTGAAGAGGAAGAGGCATCACCTGCTCGCCCTGCCCATCCCGCTGCTTTGCATGGTGCGTTGAGCGACCATTTTTCTCCTCGCTTACCTCCGCCCTCCCACGCTCCCCGCCAGGCCTCACACACCCATGTCCCGAGAGACAGGCCTGTCCACTCCACCACGGAGTTTCTTGTCCCTTTCCTCCTCGAGCCTTCATGTTCTTCTAGCTTTTCATGTCACCGTCCCCGCAAATAAAACGCGACCACCTTCCTTCCGGCTGCTTCAAACGTCAAGGCAGGTTCTGTGGATTGCCCTGCCAGGCGTGTGTGGGTCCGCCGTTCACAAGCTCCCAAGTTTTCACCAGTCTTACTAGTAGTCATGCAAATGAAGCCTTTGACAGTTGTAGCACCACTCTCAACCTTCTATCTTCTCTCCCTCCGATCGATCCGACTGAGTCTGTCCTGCATGCACCATGCCCTCCTTGCCTTTCTCCCTGAGAAGGAAAGGGCGACACCTCAGGTGTCGCTGTGTGGGAGGCCGTGCAGCTCCCGACTCCATTTCCCTTCTCCGCCCCCTCCTCCTGCCTCCCAACGTCCGCCTCCTCCCTGCTCTGCAGCCCTGTACTTGACATTCGTCGTCAACTGCTTTAGTGAGCAGTCGTGGCGGTTTGCCGGGACAGCTTCGCTCGCGTTATTGCACCACTCGATACTGCCGGTGGCTGTCGCGAGATTCGTGAGCCAGGTGAGCACATGCACTCATGCTTGACATGCATATACTACACATGTACGAATTTCATGCGCACACATATGCAGGCCGCAGCATGGACGGACAAGCCCTCACAATTGCCCATGTCTCCCCACCCAGTGCCCAGATTTGAGGTTTAGATGGTCGTTCGGCTACCCTGCTGTGTGCTACTTAAAATATACCTCTTTTCCCACACTTTTTCACCAGCGCCATTCTCCTCCCTCACCCCTCCCCCACGTCTCCTGCAACGTGCAGCTAGTGGCATGTGTGGCGGCGCCACTAGTGGGCGACCTATTGGACTCGGCTTCCAGGGTGCCCGCTCTTACAACCATCCTCGTCACTCAGGTCAGCTCATCGCACGCCCGGCCCCACAGCAACACCCTTCCTCCCGCACCGCGCTGCACCCTTCTCTTTCCCCGTCCATTGTCTCTCCTGGTTTTCAGCCGTATAGTCCCCATGCCTTCCAGTCTCCCTAACGTGCTTCTCACCTCTCCTCCCCGCTCTTGCCCGTGCGTGCGGCAACTCTCTTGTCTCCCCAACGCCCTCCTCACTTCTCCCCGCTCTTGCCCATGCGGCATCTCTCTTGCCCATGCGGCATCTCTCTTGCCCATGCGGCATCTCTCTTGCCTCCCCTGCGTCCAGTCCACGGCCATCATGGTGGGAGCAGCAGCCACCATGCACGCGCTGCGCCTCGCCTTCCCTAACGCCGCAGCAGCAGCTCTTGCCGGTACAGCCGGCACGTCAGCGCTGTGTGCGCTGCCGGCAGCAGCGGTGCTGCAGCAGGGGTGGTTCGTGGTGGTGGTGGTGGCGGGTGCGGTGGAGCGACTCATGGGTCTGGCCACAGGCGTGGCTGTGGAGATCGACTGGGTGCTTGTGGTGCGTGCCCTGCCCTCTCTCAAGTGGTCCGTGTATTAGATCCGAGCGAGTACAGACATGCCCAAGGACAGCCACAGGCATGGCTGTGGAGATCGACTGGGTGCTTGTCGTGCGTGCCCTGCCCTCTCTATTGTGGGCCCTTGTGGGACCACGGGAGCATGGGTGCATGATTGCGTGGGTGCATGTGAGCATGTGAGCATTCGCAGATGGGAGCATGGGAGGATGTTAGGACGCGAGCATGGGAGCATGAAAGCATGGGAGCATGGGAGTATGAGTGCCAGTAGCGCATGGCTAAGTGACCGAGTTCGCTAGCATAGGAACGGTCATGCGCTTGAAATTTGCTCGCCGGATAACTTTGAGTTTATTTACTGGTACAACATGGAGGGCTTGTCATTGGTGATGCTATTACTAGATGCTGCGTGCGTGCGTACAGTAGGCTAGGCGTAGGTAAGCTGTATTGCGCTCGCTGACAATAGCGTATTGCATCACTTACACGCATGGGGGCAAGGGTACGTGCGTACGTGTGTACCTTGTTACGTGGGCATATGCATGCATGGTGCCTCACAAACGCCCTTGTTGTCTTTCCACTCCACCCTGCACACGGTTCAGCTGGTGGGAGAGGATCGGCCAGTGCTCATGGCGACAGCCATGGCGACCCTAGGGAGGGTTGAGCTCTTGTGCGAGGTGAGTAAGGAAAGCTGTGCAGTCTGTTCATGGCATGTGCCTCACCCGCTCGCCTCTGCTGCACACATCATGCATGCACGTTGCGCTGTCTTCTTGCTCGATTTCTGATTCTTCTGCCTCTTGTGTCAAATGGCCTATACTCTCTTCTTTTCTAATTCATATATCCTTGACAAGGTTGCGCATCCCCCTTTCTGCTCTCCCTTCTCGCTAGCCATTTACCACCCTCACATCTGTCCCTTTCGTTTCCCCCACTCACCGCTCGCCATCCCCTTCTGCAGGTGGCAGGGGCATTCATCTTTGGGGCCCTCATCTCCACCTATGGGCCGCTAGTGTGTGTCAGAGCATGCCTTGCTCTCGCTGCCCTCTCCATCCCGGCTCTTGTATGCCTCCTTGCTTCTGCCACGCATGTCCTGCTCTGCTACACTCTCTATTCTATGTTCTGCTGCCGGCACTTCATTCCGCTGTCACTCGTACCTCTGACTTTATCTTCCATATGTGATCCATGCGCTTCGCCTTTTCTTCCTTCCCTTTCCCTGCGTTCACCTTTACACCTCTTATCCAAAAATCGCCTTCAATTTACTCCCCAAACCCTATTCTCGTTGTTCACCTCACCATGTCTGCAATCCACTCTTTACTCCCTTCTTTATTCCCCTGTCACCTTCATTTCCCTCGCCCGCTCCCCCTCCGCCCTGCTTATTTACAATCCTCTCCATGTTTTCCCATCATTCAAGCACTCCCCTCCCTTCCCTTCCTCTCTCTCTCCCATTCTCCTTCCCAAACTCCTGTACCCTTGTCACCTGTGCAGCTTGCGCTGACTGCTCTCACAAACCACCTCTCGCATGCAGCCCTCAGCCAGAGTATTCCCCTTGAGGTCGCTCCATCCACAGAAAGATTGGTGCCTGCAGCGACTGCTGCTACTCCTGACGAGGATACTGATGTTGCGGCTGTACCGCCTGCTTCTGCGACTTCTGCAGCTGTTGCTTTTGGCACTTCGGGTGGTGCTACTGGTGTTTCGTCTTCTCTTGCTGCCTTGGAAGAAGGACCTCTAGTCTCGGCTGAGTCCGTGCAAGGGGGGGCATTCTTTCCTGTACCGATGAGTGCAGCTTCTCGCGTGGTGGATGCTGCAGCAAGCACAGTACCAAGCAAGGAACCAGCACGGCTAGAGCTCTCACCGGCCATAATGCAGAGGGCAGAATTCGCATGCAACATCACACCCATTCCACTAGCCAGTCCAGCCCGTGTCACAGCAACCGCCGCACTCTCGCCCAGTGTTTCACCAGCGGAGGGGATTCTCTGGAGATACACACACGCTGTAGCAGTGTCATTTTTGCCAGTGGGAGCAGCGGCAGGAGCAGCAATATCAGCAGTGGGGAGAGCAGCGGGGAAGGGGTGGAGAGTCTTTACGCAGGAGGCGGTGATGCCTGCGAGCATGGCGTACGTGCTGCTGTGCTTCAATGCTGTGTTGGCACCCGGGGTACTCATGACCTCCTTCCTCTTCCACCACGGTCCGTTCCTCTGCCCCTCCCACCACGCTCATCGCTCCATCCCCTCCTCCCTTTATCAGTGCCAAATTTCTATGCTGCAATCTGTTACCTCCCACTTGTGGGTGCGACTTATCTGTGCCTTGCCTCGTGTGAGTGAGTGCCTGCAGGTGTGGGCATGGGGATGATAGGCGTGTTCAGCAGCGCCGGTGCGGCCATGGGCTTCGCTGCATCCTTCGTGTCGCCTGCACTCGTGGCTCGCCTCGGGATTCTGCAGGTGCGCTGGGATGCCACTGGTGGGATGCGACGGGTGTGGAGGAGTCATAAAGCTGCAATTTGAAATTCAATGGTCATTAGCTACTCATGGGCAATGAGATGCGACGGGGGAGAGAATGGTCCTTCTCCTACATCTTCTATCAGCTCAATCCTCCCTCTTCTCTTTCACTCTCATCCCCTCCTCACTGCTCCCCCATATCACTCACTCACGCCAGGCGGGCAGCATCGCGCTGCTCTTCCAGGCCACCATGCTCGCCCTCTCCGTGCTCGACTTCTCCTCTCTCCCTCTCTGCCCTCGCTTTCTTTACCAAGGCCTGCTCATGCTCTTCCTCGTGCTTCTGGTGAGTCTGCCCAATAAGAGCTACTTACCAGTAAGGCGGATTTTAAGTCTCGTCCAGACATGCTTCTTGCTGCACCATGCTTCGTATGTATCGAGTCTTAGTTTCTGCCATACCAAGCACGCTCTAGGTGCGAAGGAACACTCTTTTTTTATGCCACTGAATTGTATGGCAGGTGCTCTCTCGCATCGGCCAGGGGGTGTACCAAATCGTTGGATGTCAAATCATTCAGGCTGTGCCAGCAGCATCAGCCAACCTGTTTGGGACTACGGAGATGGCCCTTAGCAGCCTAGCAGAGCTCGCGATGCTCTCCCTCGCCATAGTCTTCCATGATCCCAAGTATTTTGGCGCCCTTGTGCTCATGTCCTTTGCTGGGGTCGTTGCTGCTGCGGTGCTCTACTGCTCGTGGCTCGCCTTTCCCGACCCTAGGCTGCAGGTGCTATTTCCAGCTCAACCAAAGGTTCAGTGGAGAGATGTGCTTTGGGGGGAATGGGCCAGGGGAGGTACCATAAGGGAAGGTTTTGCTGGTGAGCAGAGCATAAGGATAGCTGCAAATAGGCAAGATTGACTTGTAATCCACGTTCAATAAAAGGGTGGGGTTGAGTTAAATTTGTCGTTTGGACATGGCAAAAAAAGACTCTCCTTGGTGGCTTATCGTATTCCTTTACCAAGTCAACCAATATACCTGTGGACAAGCTTTCCTCAAAGCACTCACTCTGCTGGTCGTTAGAGCTTTTCATAACATTTATGCAGTCAGCCTACCGTATTACAGAAAATTAGTAAATGGCAATGTTTTAATAAGTGTGGTGTATACTGGGTGAAGCATCATATTGACGACGAGACTAACACGCATTTGTGAATATTGCAGCATGCCTTGTATTATAGGTTTCACAAAATAAATGTAAAGAATAGAATATATTGGCTGCGCTATTTCTACAGCTCATAAACCATCCACACTCTGTTCGCTTCAAGAGATTGGCGCATTGTCTGGGAATGCTGTCACACCACAACACACCAGTATGCAATTCCTGACGCCACGCGTCATCACCAAGGCCACGATTTGCTCCCTTCCCTGCCTTGTTGTTCCTCCAGGGGAGACGAGAAAATCTGTCGGGGGATGTCTCGTCGTCAGATGCTTGGCGGCGTGTCACTTCAAATCAAACCCGTTGGTTTATCGAAGGTGAGTACGTGGTTCCATCTGCTCTGTCCCATTCCCACATGGTCAAGATCGCATTCCCAGAAACAAGGTTACACAGGTCTAAGAATCCAGCATCCCTAAAGACCCGCTCAAGCGAGTTTTACAGGAAAGGTGTGCCCAGACCTCGCGACACTTGCGATCTATCAAGGTGAAGGACGAGTGACGGCCGAAAAGGAAGAACTAAACAAATTAGACGCTAGAGCACCTTAGTGTCAGGTTTCTCAGCGCGAACGTTATGAATTTCTGTTGTAGCGGGCTACCCACGAACCACGCGATTAGGAAATTGCTTTCTAACCGTCGGCCAGGTTTTGGAAACACATCGCCCAGATACCACTCGTCGCAGGCACAATCGTGAAATAGTAGAAACGACACCTGAGCTTCTCCCAATGTAAATACGATCTCTCAAGTCCATCTCTTGGCTTCCTCTGACGGCCTCTGCTTCCATCCACACCATAGGCCGTGGTCTCAGCCAATCAGGCTCGGAGGCTTAAAGTTTGTGTTCCCAAGGCTCTTCCACCAGCGTTGCCACCTCCCCATTCCTGCGGGCACATCTTCCAAAGGCGCTGCCAGAAATATTCACTTTTTGATCCGGGCAGTGCTTTGTGGGGTGTTGCTAGCCGCTCGTTCCGCCTAGGTTTCTTCAACATCAGAGTGAGGGAGGAAGGAACCACCATACTGTACCTTCAATCCACCTCAGCTTCATGCACCAGTCGCGAGGACAATTCAAGAGCTGGTCAGGTCAGTAGAGAAACATCATCATCTCAGCGGCTAAGTGCTTCCTCATTTGCATGCTGCAGTTTCGAGGAGTACCTGCACTTCCGAGGGCCGAGCACTTAGTTTGTCTGGACCCCGCTCGTTCTCACACTCGCCGCGCCCGCCTCAGAGCATTTTCCGCTCAAACCGCGTTCAAGCGCCTAATTCTTTATTCTCTTATCTCGAGCCGTTATGGCCCCTCTAGGCCTGTCGCTTGATCAGGCGCTGACACTTCCAGCGTTGGCCCAGTCTGGACGGCCGCGGCAAAGACGCTGCACGCGCACCGCGTCGCAACCCCTCCGCGCAGGCGGCTTTCCCATTTCGCGCGCGCCCAGTTCCTCTTGGCTGGCTCGCGACGTTGCGCGCACAAAGGCTCGTTCCGCGCGCCAAACTCCCGGACATGGCGCTACAAGCAAGGCATTTCAGCCTCACGCATCACGGTCTCCGCTTCCCGGGTCCGACGATGCTCCCACGTCCCGCGCTCCTTCGGCTTCCTCACCTCCCTCCGCACGTCTGCCCTCTTCTCCTGCCTCTGCCGCTGCTTCCCCAGCGGCTGTAGCCCCTACAGCTGCAGCTGCTCTCGTAGCAGCTATAGTTTCCGGCCTTGCCGATCCTGCACCAGCAGCGGCTGAGGCAGCGCCAACGCTACTTAAGCTCCTCACAGATGCAACAGGAGGCGTAACTTCAGGCGTAGCGTCAAGTACTCAGGCGCTTCAGGGAATTCGCTTGCCTGACGCTGCTGGTGCTGCGAACGCGGCTGCGGAACAGGCAAATTCGTTCGCAGCAGCGGTAGCCAGCTGGGTTCAAAACATCGTAGAGCAATCCCCGATCGACGCCGCAACCGTCGCCGCATCCGCCGCTGCGAGCGGTCCAGCCAGCGCGATTCAGGCGGGACCTGATCTCGGCCGTGCGATTCAGGAGCAGGGGCAGGCTGGGGCAGCGGCAGTGCAGCAAGCTATAGCGGCAGCTGCGGGTGGGGTGGGTCAGGCGGGCGCATCGGCAGGTGCCGCCGTGAGCGCATTTTCAGGAACAACTATCGCGAGCTCTCCTGGCCTAACGCGCCTCGGCGAGGCGTCCTCTGCGCTGTTACAGGTAAGACCCTATGTTCTTTCTCTAAGCCTTCGTGCAAATGCCTTGTATCTGTTGGTTACCCCCTCTGTCACCCTCTCAGAATACATCCGTCTCCACCTCCTAATCCGCGCCTCTTCTCCTCTCTCTCCGTCACGTTGTTTCCCGCGCCGCGCAGAGCTCGGATCATCTCACATCCTCGTTGCGCGTGTCGGTCGACTCCGCCTTGGCGCAGGCCTCCGCCGATCCCGCCTTTCTCCCCACCACCGCGGCGCGCCTCGCAACTTACCTCGCCTCTTCCCTCGCCTCCTCCGCTTCCTCCCTCGTCTCCTCCTTCGCCGCCAAGCCGATCGTCGCGCCGACCGCGGCGGCGATCGCGGCGGGCCTCGCGGCGCTGCTCGTGAAAGCGGTGGTGGAGGCAGTGAGCGACGCGCGAGAAAAGGGCAAGGAGATTCCGTCCACGTACGACCCGGAGGCAATTGCGGCGTATTTCAAGCTGCGCCCCGCGCGGGTGGTTGCGCGCGCCGTGTGGGTGGCGGCGCAGTGCTCGGAAGTACTCGCGGGGTTGGCGCTGGACTACGCGCGCGGGGAGGGGAAGCAGAACGAGCAGCTGCGCGCGCAGCAGACCATGGAGTTAATCACGCGGCTAGGCCCCACGGCGATTAAGATAGGCCAGGCGCTGAGTATCCGCCCCGATATCATGCCCCCCGCTTATATCGAGCAGCTTCAGACCTTGCAAGACCGCGTGCCCTCCTTCCCCTCCGCCGACGCGCGCCGGATCATATCGGACGATCTCGGTCGTCCGGCGGAGGAGGTGTTCGACGGCCTGGATAAGCCCGTTGCGGCGGCGTCGCTGGGGCAAGTGTACCGCGCGCGCGTGCGCGCAACGGGGGAGGACGTGGCGGTGAAGGTGCAGCGGCCGGAGGTGCGCGAGGACATCTGCTGCGACCTGCTGCTGCTGCGCGCGCTCGCGCAGGTGGCCTCCGCCATCCCCGGCGTGCACACGGACCTAGCGGAAGTTCTGGACTCGTTCTCGAGCCGCTTCTGGGACGAGCTGGACTACCAGAAGGAGGTGAGCGGGGGGGACGAGACGCGGGGGCGCGGTACGCGTGCTTTGCTGCTGCTTGCTTGCAATGCGCGTTGGGCCTGCCGTTGCTTGCCTCCCCCCCGACTCCTCACACCTCTCACCCTTCCTGCCTTTCCCACCCGTCTCTCTCCTAGTGAGCAGAATTGCACCTCCCCGTTTTCTTCCTCTCGTGTGCGTTGCTCGTGTGACCACCACGCTTCCCTCCCCACTCCCTCACCCCCTCTCCCCTCTCTCTTCGTGTCCCCCTCATCCGCAACCCCATCCGCCAGGGCGCGAATGCAACGCGCTTCCGAGAGGACATGCAGAGGCTGCGCAACGTTGTGGTGCCACGTGTTCTCACAGATCTCACCAGCACTCGCGTACGTGGCTGAGCGGCCGGATCAATGGATAGACAGATGGATAGATGGATGAGCGGGCGAGTATGATGATGCTGTAACTGATGGGTGCATATGAACGCTCAGGCACCCATGCAGGGTTGGGATGGGATGGGTGCAGGAGGAGACTACTGACATACATGGACCTCGCTTACCCTTACCTTGCTCCGTTTCGTTCATCCGCCCTAGTTTTCCGACACACATGCACCATTCACTTCACTTCACCTCACACATCACAACCCCCCCCCCCCCCCTTTTCCCCACCCCGGCCCCCCCCCGTCTCCCCTCCCTCCTCCCTCATCCACGCCTTCCTCCTACCTCAGGTGCTCACAACAGAGTGGGTGCAAGGCGAGAAGCTGTCAGACGCAGAGACGGCGGACGTGAGCAGCCTGGTGACCCTGGCGCTCAACTGCTACCTCATCCAGCTGCTTGAGACTGGCTTCCTGCACGCCGACCCGCACCCGGGGAACCTCCTCAGAACCGCCGATGGCAAGCTGTGCATTCTTGACTTTGGATTCATGACTGAGGTGCGTGGCAGAGAGGGGCTGCAAAGTGCGGTTGTGTCTCTGCGCTTGGGATCTGTGAGGCGCGTCACTAACCTTCTCAGAACCGCCGACGGCATGCTGTGCATCCTGGACTTCGGATCCATGACAGAATGGCGCGATGTGCAGGGGGGCATGAGCGGTGCTTGGGAGGGGCCAAGCTGGGATGTGGAGGGATGTGGAGGGATGTGGAGGTACGGAGAGGGGTGAGGCAGAGGAGGGAAGTCAGTGTGGAGGGTGGGGTTTAGGGGGTCCCTCTCTCGCACTCCCCTTGGCGCCCCCCGCCCTCAACTCTTCCTCTTGCTGACCACCCACCCATCCTAACTACCCCCACTTCTCCTCGCCTTCAAACATTCCCACCATCAACCTCTCTCCCTTTCTGCTCTCTCTGCTCTCCCTCCGCACCCCTCCCTCCCAACCTCCCTCCCTGCCCCCACAGGTCACAGAGCCTCAGCGCTACGCACTCGTCTCCTACATCTCGCACCTGCTCAGCGCGGACTACGAGCGAGTAGCGCAAGACCTCGTGGTCCTGGGCTTCGTCCCCCCGGACCTGGTCGACGAGGAGAAGACCAAGTCCGTCGTCCCGCAGCTAGCCCGCGTCATGTCTCAGATTACCCAGGGAGGCGGTGCGCGCAACATCAACTTCGGGCAGGTGGCAGAGGATCTCTCGTCCATGGCGCAGGACTATGTGTTCGTGATTCCGAGTTACTTTGCGCTGATTCTGCGCGCGTTTGGCACGCTGGAGGGGATTGGGCTGGACCGGGATCCGAGCTACTCCACGCTGCAGGAGTGCTACCCGTACATTGCCAAGCGCCTGCTCACTGACGACTCGTGAGTGTCTATGGGGCGAGGGGCTGTGGTTTGGGGCGCGGGTGCGTGGGGAGGGTTGTGTGTGTGTGCTTCGCTCAATGCTGTTTGTTCCTTTTGTGACGCATGTACTTTCTCTGTCCCCTCTTCTCTCTCACTTCCCCTAACCTCCCCTTGCCTTACCTTCTCTTCTTTGTTCCCTCACCCCTTCCCCGCCCATTGCCTTCGTCCCCTTCCCCACCCCCAGTCCGCGCGCCCGTGCAGTGCTAAGGGACTTCCTATACGGGTCAGGGGACCGCCTGGACGTGGCACGGGTGGAGGAGCTCACACAGAACTTCCTCTCCTTCCGCCACCTCATGGCCACGTCCCCCTCCGCCTCCCCGCACCTCGATGCCGTAGCTGTCGACGCCATCGCCTCTGCTGCTGCCGCCGGCGCCACCACTCCCGATGATGCCACAGCTGCCGCTGGTGGTTCTGCTGAGGGCTCGGGTGATGCTGAAAGCACTGGGGATTTCAGGCCGGCTGTTGCCATGGCAGCGGCAGGGAGGAGAGAGGGTGTGGGTGCAATGCAAGCAGCAGCAGCAGCAGCAGCAGCAGCAGCAGGAGCGGTGGCATGGCCGGGGGTGGATGAGGGTGCAGGTGTGGTGGATCCAGTGGCATGGGAGGTGGTGCAGACCGTACTGGCACCAGAGGGCAGCTACGTGCAGGAGCTTGTACTCACAGAGGTCAGCCTTGCCCCCCTCGCTTTCTCTGCTCTGCTCTTTCACTCGCTCTCTCTGTTGCGCTCTCTCACACCGTTTTGCTCTTTGCACGTCATCCCTCATGCCTCCTCTCAACCTTCCCTTTTCCCCTTCCACCCGTTCGCCTCCACTCCCCCCCTCTTACCCCACTCTTCCCCCCCCACCTCCCCCAGATGGCGCGCACAGTGGACGCCATGTCACGAGAGGCCCTAGCAGCGCTCTGGTCCGCACTCGTCGCGCGCACGCTCCTCCCAGTGCCAGCGCAGCTGCAGCAGCCGGGCACCTACCCCCTGCCTCTCCTCCTCCCAGGGGCAATCCTGGGCATGGTGAGCGGGGACTGGCGCACGGCCAGCCTGTCAGATGACGATGTGGAGGCGCTGGGGACCCTGCGGCGGCTGTGGACGCTGCTGGCCCCGCAGCTCAGAAGCATGGAGCCCGTTGGAGGGCCGTCCTCGCCTGCAGGTGCGTTGCTTTGCTATGCTCACTGCTGCTCTGCACAGTGTCCACTCACTGCCTCTCGTCATCCTGTGCGCTCGCGTCTCATCCCCTTTCTGCACTGCTGCCTTTCACCTGTGTACCTCGCCGCTCCAAATGCTCTTCGTGCTCCGCTCTCGTCATCCTTGCTCCTCCAAATACTCAACCCACTTCTGCCCTCCTCTCCCTCTCCCCCTGCCATGATTCCCATCTTTCAGAAGCTCTCTCCTTCTTCCGGGAAGCAGCGCCCCTCATGTTCAGTGCGCTGCCAGGAGCCGCCACCACAGCGACACGCTTCCTCGTGATGCTGCTGCAGCGCCAGCTACTCCGCCTAGCAGACGATCTCGACGGGGGGGACTCGGTGCAGCAGTGGGAGGCAGATCCGTACTCCCTCGCGCGCTCCATCCGCCCCTTCTGGATGCCCCCCGCCAGCCCCTTGAGGTAGCGCCGTAGCAGCAGTAGCAGTGCGAGGTGCAGCAGTTGGGGTTCGGATGGTTTGTGGTACGCGCACGCTCCATCCGCCCCTTCTGGATGCCCCCCGCCAGCCCCTTGAGGTAGCGCCGTAGCAGCAGTAGCAGTGCGAGGTGCAGCAGTTGGGGTTCGGATGGTTTGTGGTACGCGCACGCTCCATCCGCCCCTTCTGGATGCCCCCTGCCAGCCCCTTGAGGTAGTGCCACAGCAGCAGCAGTGCGAGGCGCAGCGGCTTGTGTTCAGCTGGTTTGTGGTATGCGCGCGCTCCATCCGCCCCTTCCGGAGATGGATGCGCACGGAGATTCTGGTGGAGTGCAGGGTAGGGGTGAGCAGGAGCCAGTGTGCAGGTCAGGAAGATGGACGATTCTGGTGGACGATTCTGGTGGAACCTGTGTTGGGATGGTTAGTAGGTGAGCACATGGCAGCAGGAAGTCTGGTTGTGTTTTGGCATCGTGAAAGGTGTGTATGGTATGAAGCTAGGGCTGTGGCAGTGCATGTATCTATGAATATATATATCTTCACTCTAAAGTTTCATCACAAGCCTCGACACAAACTTCAGCACTGTATGTGACGAACTGAGCAGGGTTAAGTTCTTGACTCGGGAACACTGTAGAGGAAAGCTGCCTCATTACACATAATCACCTGTCAAGAGACTGAATGCAGCAAATGCCAATTTTGTTTCAAGTACCGTAATCACATGAGGACGTCTGTCACACTACAGCAAATATCCCACAATCTCTGAAATCAGGTCCCACCCATTCCCAGTGAAGTTACACATGATGCTCAGCTGTTGCACGCACATTTGGTCTGCCCGTATTCAACAGCCTGCCCAATTGCATTTGGTACCAGCCAGTTGCACGCATGATACAAGCCCATATTTTGATCGCAGCCGTTGAACATACAGCTTATCACGCTGGCATCTGTCCATTCGTGAGATATTTTGAAGGCGCTGGTTACATTTCTTCACCTGCCCACTACAGACCCGATTTTGCTCGTGGCGAATGTTGGCGAGCAGGCGAAAAAGCTGTTGCTCACTAAACACCCAAATGATGAAAAAAGTTGTGGGTACTTAGCGGGCATCATGTGTACGTGACAAGCATACAGTTACAGGAAAACCTCCAACCACACATCAATGTAAGCTAACCTACCAGTAACCCTCATCTGCCTACTCTACAACATGCCTCTCCTCATCCAACCTTGTCCAGTCCAAACTACCCAACCACTTTTTACTGTAGGTGCCTAATGATTACCATGTGTGAAAGTGGTAGACAGGCAGGCAGGGTAGACACCGCATGGCCTCACTATCAGTCGTTGCTTGTACATTATACCTACTACCCTCCCTCCTTCCAACCGATACTACGGTACGGTGTGTGCTGCTGGGGGCTGCAATGTGCTTCTAGGGGTACTGTTAGCTTTCAATTCTTCCCAATCCCAGTCTATGATACGTACTAAGAGCGTTTTGTTACCATTCAGCTTGCGCTAAGTTCGACGCGTTTCAACCAAACCTTGGAAAAAAAAATGTTGCTTGCTCATGTCTTGTACACACAAGTTCCGATTTTGTTGGTCTACACTCCCATATTGTGCACACATTCTCCTTCCCATTCTCCCAGCATTCACACTCACACTCACACTCGCCCTCCTACCATGACTCGGCAAATCCACACTAGACACACTACATGCCTGTCAGTAGGCACGTCAACTAGACACATCAAAGTCATGCTTTTCAGAGAGAAGAGTGAGGGCTGGAAAGACGTGCAAGGGGAGAGGGCGCGGGAAAGGAATTGAGAGGTGGGACGCAAGAGAGCGTACCAAACGTGCAGAAAGGGGGAAAGGGGAAAAGTGAGGTAGAACGAGAGGGGAGCGACGAGAGCGACAGACAGGGGTCAAGAGGGATTGCAGGAGTGGGAAGGACAGCAGTACCATGCAAGGGGGCAGGGGACAAGATCACATCACAAGCTAAGGGGGACCGTGTGTTCTCCACCTGTTGAAATGAGGCGGCGGCTGCTGCTGCTGTTGCTGCGCCGGCGGCTGCTGCTGCTGCGGCGGTGGCGGGTGCCGGAAGCTAACAGGCCGGCGGAAGGAGGGGCGTTGGCCCATGCCGCCAGGGGGAGCACCCGCACCAGCACCAGGACCAGGGCCAGGACCAGGACCAGGAGCACAGCGGTACTGCCGCCCGGGAGAGTCCGGAGGGGAAGGAGGCATGGGCGGCGGCTGCATCTGGTGGTGGTGCTGGGGTGGGGGTGGGGGACCCATGCCCAAGTACGGGTTCCACGGCGGCTGCCCTCGCTGCTGTTGCTGCTGCTGCTGCTGCTGCTGCTGCTGCTGCTGCTGCTGCTGCTGCTGCTGCTGCTGCTGCTGCTGCTGCTGCTGCAACTGGTGCTGCTGGTGCTGCTGGTGGTGCGGTGGTTGCGAGGGCAGGTGGTGCGGGTGCATGGGAGGCGGCGGGTGATGGCGAGGAGCAGCGAAGGAGATGGGGTTGTCTGGCCCCCGGTGCAGGTGGGGAGGCCGCCGGTGGGGGGCTGGAGGGATGGGATGGGACGGAGAGGAATGCGGGAATGAGAGGCAGGCGAGATCAGAGGCGCTGCATCAACCAGGCTAGAAAGAGATTGCGACAGGAAGAGGCGAAAAGAGAACAAGGGAAAGCGTGGGGGAGGGGACGGAGGGTAGGGGTACGGGAAGAGAGAGCAGTGGAGAACAGGAGGCGAACGAGACAGATTGAGTGACTGAAAGAAGGAGCAAGTAGGGAAAGAGCAACTTACAACGTGAAGGGGAAGGTGGCCGATCCCCATATCCTGCTGGACCATGGCCTGGACCATGTCCCGGCCCATGCCCATGCGGGTGCGGAAACCCATGTGAGCGGGGCCCATCGGCCAACGGCTGGACCCGCCAGCTGAACTGCAACCCGCCGCGAGGAGGCGAGTTGGGGTATCCATGCGGCATGCCCCTCTCTATCCCCGACCCTCGCTCCATACCTCCTCCTCTCTCCGGTCCCCCCCCTCTCCACTCAGTGTGCATGCTCCCTTCTCCTGGCCCCCCACCCATGCCTGCCCCGTGCCCTGCTGCTGCTGGTCCCAGCCCGAACGAGTGTGGGTGCGGGTGAGAATGCCCATGTGCCCCCCGCTGGTTTGAATGCGCATGCATGTGCGGGTGACTCGGCGACCGGCGCAAGTGGGGAGGAGAATGGGGCATGCCGGAAGGAGGAGAGGAGTGGCCAGACGAGGAGCGAGATAGAGACGGGCGGAAGGAAGGCGAGAGAGACCGGTGATGACCAGGAGCATCCCCAGTAGAGCCGGAAGAGCTTCGGAAGGTGCGGCGCGGGGGAGGAGCGGTCATGGGGGAGGCTTGAGGGGGACGGGCGGGAGGAGGGAGTGGTGACACCGGGTGACCCTGACTCTGGCTCGGGCCTTGCTGCGCGGGAGAACGCTTCACCCCTGCACCACCTGCTGCACCTGCTGCTGCTGCTACTGCAGAGGCAGATATCGGTGTGTTGACAGGGGTTGTTCCAGACAGGGTTCTTGATGCTGCAGGGGTAGTCGGCGCACTAGCAGGAGCAGAGGGAGCAGCAGGCGGGCCCATGAGGCCAGACTTGCGTTCCGGTGACCCTCCACGCTGCATCTCCTCCCCACTCGCACCCACCCTGTCCTCCGCCTGCCCCTGTGGCCCCTGGCTGAGGCTTTCCTCCCTCTTCTCCGTGCGCTGCCCTTGCACGCTCCCCTGCATGCTACTCTCTCTGCCGCTCTCTCCCACTGCTGCTGCTGCTGCTTCTGCTTCTGCTGCAGCAGGCCCAGCTCTAGAAGCCAACGCATCACCTGCGCGGGCAGTGCCAGTTGCAGCAGCAGCAGCAGCCCCAGCAGAAACGCTAGCAGCTCCTGCAGCCGTAGCTGCTGCAGCAGACGTTCCTGAACCTGCTGATCCAGCTGCGGCAGCAGAAGTTGGAGTAGTAAAGGACTGAGGGGGGCCCTGGGTGCTGTACGGTTTCCCAGCTTGCAGAGGCGTGAAGGGGGAGAGGGAGAAGAGCTGAGGGGGAGCGGATGGGGTGTAGGGCGTGGTTGGCGAGGTGGATAGGTGTGGTTGGGCGTTGAAACTCCTTGGGGAGGCTGGGAGAGAGATGGGGAGAGAGGGGGTGGGGAGCGGGGAAGAGGGGAGTAGGAGAGGGGCGAAAACGGGATGGATGAGGACAGTGGTAAGAGTGAATTGGCGGGCACAGCTGGGCATGGGATGGACATGAATGCAGGAGAAGCATTGAAAATCGGGTCCGTGTTTGCAAAAGGAGACACACAGCAGCTCCTACCATGCAGAGATGCAAGCAGGAATACAGAAATGTGAAATCCAAAACAGCACAGGGAGCGATAGGGAGCTAGCACAGCACTAGGCAGCTAGAGACGAAGGGGTCCAGTAGCCACCTGCAGCAAGTGCTCCTGGCGTCTGGGTGAAAGAGCGCACTCTCCTGGGAGTACGCAACCCATCCTGACTGCCCGCCCCCCTCTCCTGCCCCTCCTCCTCTGCAGCCCCTGGTGCCGCTGCTGCTGGTGCTTCTGATGCTGCTGCTGTGCCTGTCTCCTCTCGTGCGCGCAATGCTCGTCCCTCACCCACCTGCAGCCCTGCCAGTCGCCCTGCCACCTCCACACGCTCCTGCTGCTGCTGCTGCTGCTGCTGCTGCTGCTGCTGCTGCTGCTGCTGCGCCTGTTGCTGTTGCTCCTTGTGGGAAACTGCTGTGAGCGGAGTTTTCACAGGCGATTCCTCAGAAGCTACAGGCGCAGCTACTTGCCTCTGTGAAGCCACTGCTGCTGCTGCAGCAGCAGCGCTGCCAATCGCAGCAGCAGCGCTGCCAGTCGCAGCAGAAGCAGCCAACCCTGACGCCGAAGGAGGCAGGGGGTTCAGGGCAGGGGTGGCCAGGAGAGGGGGCAGTGTTTTCTGGGGAGACGGTGCATTGCCATGCACCGCACCTGCTGCTACCCTCGCAGGCCCCCTCCCTTCCCCACTCTCTCTCCTGGACATCCCCATACTGCCTTTCACTCTTTCCCCACTTCCTTGCACTTCCTCCCTCGCCTCCGACCTCCCAATCCCTTGGCCCCTCGCTCCTTCAAACTTCTCGACGTCCCCTCGCCTGTCTGTGCTGTCTGCGTGCCGTGCCTGCCACTGCTGTTCCCCCTCCACCGATCTGCCTGCTCCTACAGGCCTCTCCGCCTCCTTCCCCTCCTGCCTAGATTTCCCCATCCGCATATCCTGCTGCTGCTGCTGCTGCTGCTGCTGCTGCTGGTGTGGCTGTGGCTGTGGTAGTGACATTTTCCATGGTGGCGGTGGCTGCTGCTGTTGCTGCTGCCGCTGTTGTTCCTGCTGTTGTTGCTGCTGTTGCTGTTGCCGCTGTTGTTCCTGCTGTTGTTGCTGCTGTTGTTGTTGCTGCTGCTGCTGCTGCTGTTGCTGCTGCTGTTGCTGCTGTTGTTGCTGTTGTTGTTGTTGTTGCTGCTGCTGCTGCTGCTGCTGCTGCTGCTGCTGCTGCTGCTGCTGCTGCTGCTGCTGCTGCTGCTGCTGCTGCTGCTGCTGCTGCTGCTGCTGCTGCTGCTGCTGCTGCTGCTGCTGCTGCTGCTGCTGCTGCTGCTGCTGCTGCTGCTGCTGCTGCTGCTGCTGCTGCTGCTGCTGCTGCTGCTGCTGCTGCTGCTGCTGCTGCTGCTGCTGCTGCTGCTGCTGCTGCTGCTGCTGCTGCTGCTGCTGCTGCTGCTGCTGCTGCTGCTGCTGCTGCCCTGCAGAAACACCAGCAGCACCAGCACCTACGCTAGCGCCCATGCCCATCCCTCCAAACCCCTGCATCCCACGTATCCCTTCCGCTCCCTCGCCCAAGCCTCTCCCCCCTCCACCCATCGGCCCTTGCTGCACGTGCGCAGGTGGGGGAAAGTGGCAGGGGAACCAGTTTCCATTTCCCCTGAATTGCTGCTGGGGGGCGGAAGGTCCCCCCTGCATGCCATGGGCAAAGGGGGGCGGGAACTGGGGCGGGTTCATGTGGGGGAAAGGCAGAGGCGCCAGGGGAAGCGGGGCCTGAGGCGGCTGAAGAGGCGGGGGCATTGTGAGTGGCCCCGAGGGCTTGCTTGGGTGGCTTGCAGGGGGAGCAGCGCTAGCAGCAGGGAGGGCAGGCGGAGGAGGAGGAGGAGCAGATGGAGCAGGGGGGGCGGAGAGGTGAGGCAGAGGGGGAGGAGAGGCGGAAGGAGGGGGTTGCGCCCCCCCTGGACTCATTTCCATATCCATGTCTGTAGGGGATCCAGGAGGGAGCGGAGGGGGGGAAGGGGGAGGGGAGGATGGGAGCGGGGGCGGCGAGGGCGGTGGGGAGGACGGAGGCGGAGGTGGGGGGGGCATAGGAGGGGGCGGCGCAGTGGGGGGCGGTGGCGGCGCTGCTGTTAGCGCTGCTGCTGCACCTGGAGGTACTGCAGACAGTGTCCCGTCACCTGCAGCAGCATCCCCTGCTGCTGCTGCTGCTGCTGCTGCTGCTGCCCCTCCAGAGGCAGTCCTGTCTGCAGCTGCTAATGGATGGGCCATTATCTGTGCTGACGGTGCTACTGGCACTGGCAAACCCACCCCTGCTTGCCCTGTTACTCCTGCTCCTGCCGCTGCTGCTGCTAAAGCTGATACAGCTGCTCCTGCTCCAGCTGCTGCTGCTGGCGCAGCTGCCTCTGCCGATCCAGCAGCAGGGAGTGCACGCCCCACAAATCCCTGCTCTGACTTGGCACCAACAGACGCCTCTGCAGCACCGCCACCTCCTGTAAACTTACCCTGGGACGGTGGATACTGGGAGAACACACGACCGCTGCCCCGTGCCGCACTGCCCCCAGCACCGCTATCCCTCAGTACAACGCCAGGCCGCGGCACTCCCGAGGCGGCAGCAGCAGCAGCAGCAGCAGCAGCCACCGCGCTGGCTGCAGCAGATGCTGCAGAGGCGACTGCTGCTGCCACCGCTGCTGCTGCACCAGTGAACGCGGAACCCTGTTGCTCCCCAGGGGCGGCCCTTGTAAGGAACCCCCCCCCAACGATGCCAGCACCAGCACCAGCAGCAGCAGCAGCAGCAGCAGCAGCAGCAGTAGCAGCAGTATCAGCAGTAGCAGAAAGCAGTGATCCCGATCCACCTCCCAGGCCCCCTTCAGGTTTGCCTTCTGCACCCCTAGCCCTCTCCGCTCCTTCGTGCCCTCCTGCCTGCCCCTGTTCAGCCCTGGCTCCTCCAGCAACCTCCTTACTTTGTAGCAAAGCAGCTTCTGACGAGTACGGTTGCAAAGCAGAGGCGGACGCTTGAGAAGGGAATATCCCAGGCCCAGATGCAGCAGCAGCAGCAGAAGCAGCAGCAGTGAAAGCGGAAGCAGCAGCAGGGCCTTGCAAGCCGAGAGGGCTCCTTTGCGTGTCGTAATGGGCGGAGCGGGAACGAGGGAGAGAGAACTCAGAGCGGAGGGGATCTGAGCCAGAAGTGCTTGCAGCAGCACCTGTGGTCACCACCGCAGCAACCGCTGCTGCTGTCACCGCAGCAGCACTAGGCACGGTTGCTTGAGCCTCGGCGTCCCCGAGTTTTGCGGTGAGAAGGCTGGCCAGGGCGAATGTGGCGTTGCTGCGGCCATGGGACGGTGGGAGAGATGCACATCACAAGCAGATGAGTGAATGCAGCGCGGAAAATAAAGGGCAGGTAAAACAAGGAAACAAGGCAACGGGCACAGCACGTACAGAGACTCCCAACCACAGACCCCACCTCCCTTCTCAGCCACGACTCAACCACACAGCACAGCACACCATGCACACCCATCCCACACCCATCCACCATCCATACCACAACCATACCACACCGATCCCACACCACACTCATCCCACCACCCATCCCACCACACATTCCACCACCCATGCTACCACCCATCCCACACGCACCTGCCATATTCATTCATAACTAGCCCATCCATCTCCCTCAAAGGATCATCCAGTTTTGAGACGTCTCAAAACTACACTCACACACACCCATGCCACCATCCATCCCACAAGCACCTGCCATATTCATTCATAACTAGCCCATCCATCTCCCTCAACGGATCATCCAGTTTTGAGACGTCTCAAAACTACACACGCACACACCCATGCCACCATCCATCCCACACGCACCTGCCATATTCGTTCATAACTAGCCCATCCATCTCCCTCAACGGATCATCCAGCGCCCTCTCAGACCGCGACGGCCGTCTCAGCTGCCGATCCGAGTTTATCATCGGCACCAGCATGTGTGCACCCACTCCCTGTCCCCCTCCCCCTGCTCCCCCCTCCCCCTTGTGATAACTCTTATGTGGATGGGCGAAATTCCCGTGGTGGTGTGACTGCTGCGCCCCTGCCCCTTGCTCCTGCCCATGCGCCCCTCCTTCTCCTCGCCCCCCCGCTCCATGCTCACTCCCCTGCCCGTACGCCGGAACTTTGAACTCCACCCCTCGTTTCCTCCCACCATCCTGCCCCTGCCCCGGTTCCTGCCCGTGCTGCTGCAACTGCGGATCATAATGCCCTGGAGGCCTCGCCTCCTGCTCCTCCTGCTCCCTCTCCCCTGCTCCGCCTCTTGATACAGCTTGGGCTTGCAGGTGAGAGGAGGGCGGGACAGGTGTGCTTGAGAGCTGGTGGTCGCGGTTGCGAGCCTCAATCTGGTCTATGTAGTGCGCCAGTACCTCTTCTGCCAGCACCTGCCTGTGCTTCCACAGCCGCAGAACCTGCAGGGGAAGCAGAAAGGAGAAGGGGAGCAGCAGGTAAGGATGAGAAAAGGGTATGGCTGAGAGCTGGTGGTCGCGGTTGCGAGCCTCAATCTGGTCTATGTAGTGTGCTAGTACCTCTTCTGCCAGCACCTGCCTGGCTTCCACAACCGCAGAACCTGCAGGGGAAAGAGGAGGTATGGGCGGAGTGAGAAGGGGAGGAGCAGGAACGGGGGGGGTAGACGAGGCAGAGCAGGAGAGAGGGAAGATAGGATAAGCCACGAGCGTTTTACTGTTTCGTTTGGCTCGAGGAACTTAACCATGCCACCTGCCTGTGCTTCCACAACGCCCACCATACAGCACAATCACCTTCCCCGAATCATCACCAATCATCCTCATCCACCAGAGAGCAAACTTATCATCAGCAACAAATCATCAGCACGATTCCTCTAACACCAGACCAGACCAGCCCGCCAACGCCAACCAGCATCCATCACCTTGATGGATGACGCATGCGGTAAATGGATGACGCACGCAGCAACGCACCTTGATGCACTGGCGGCGGTTCTCGTGAGCAGCAGGGCCCGCAGGGGCAGCAGCCGTGACGATACGTAGCAAGGCATCCTTCACCAATTCCGGATACACTGCCGGCGGCCCACCTGGTGCCCGTGCAGTTACAGGGTTACCAGTATTGTACAGGTGGGAGGGAAGGAATCATAAGAGGAAAAGGTGAGAGAGGCTGGACTGGAAGCTTGGTGAAGCTGAGAGAGAAGCGAAATCTAGGGCTCGAGAACGAGGGAGGAAGGAGGAACGTGAATGCTGAAACAGGCTGTGCGTTGCATCTGAAATGTGGGAAATCAGATGCACGCGCTGCTCGTGTATGTTCGATGAAGACATGCCCTTGCCTTCCCATGTGCTTTTGCACTGACCTGTGCAAGCGGCTTTGCAAAGACTAACGAGGTGCGGGGCGGACTTGCCTTTGAGGTGCGAGCTCTGGGTGATGGAGTCGACGAGAAAGAAGAGGTCGACCTTGCGATGCATGCTCATCTCGTTCTCCAGCCGTGACACCACCATCTCCATCACCTGCTCCCACCCATGCACGCATGCACATGACAATGCACATGCACATGCACACGCAGATACACATGCACATGCACATACACATGATGCACATACACATGTACATGCACATGTACACGCACATGTACACGCACATGCAAACACATGTGCACATGCCCAAAGGCACGCACGCCCGCAAGTGCACAAACACACACACACACACACACACACACACACACACACACACACACACACACGCACACGCACACGCACACGCACACGCACGCGCACGCGCACGCGCACACGCACACGCACACACACACACACACACACACACACACACACACACACACACACATGCATGCACCAGTTCAATAAGCCGCGAGGCACAAACATGAGGTCGGATGCACGGGCATAGGAAGAATATGAGTGCACTGCACGGAGCCTCACTGACACCAGGACTATATTCATACCCGGAATTTACACTGGCGAATCGCGAGCATGCATGGGCCTAAAATCAGGGGGAGAAATACACAATGTGCACAGCCACGCACATATTTGAAGGAAGGGAAAGACCGGGGCAGAAGGAGGGGTGGAGCGGGAGGAGAGAAGGTGGAGCGGAGCGGAGGAACGATGAATGAGCTGCAGAGGGGTAAGAAAGAAATGATTCACAACAACAACAGCAGGGCAGAGTCGCACCTGGTCTGCAATCCCAAGGCAGGCACATGCCAAGGCGTGCCGAGTCGTGCGACCAATGCTCTCCTTGGTGCGAGACAGCGTTTCCAGCATGCCCCCAAACGTATCCCTCATCACTGCGGACTCTAGCTCACTCCCCGCACCCACACCCGCACTACCACCACCCACACCACTCCCTCCCACACCCCCTCCTCCTCCCCCTCCCGCCCCTCCTCTTCTACCACTGCTCCCTGGCTCTTCCCCTTTTCCATCCGTGTCTGCTGCCCCTCCCGCCCATGCCACACCATCCCTTGCATCACCGACGGCCCCTGCACCTGCAACACTCCCCCTGCCCTTCCACCCCTCCGCTCCATCCTCCCCATCCCCCTGCCCACTCCCACCCTCCTGCCACTCGCCCATCCCAGCACCAGCACCCCCTCGCCCTTCCACTGCCCTCACCTCACCACCCGCACCTCCAGCCTCGTCTCCCTCTTTCTCATCCCCAGCAACCCCTGCAGCACCACCGCTCCCACCCAAACCGTCCCCTGCCGGTCCTGCATCGCCCACTCGCCTGGGGAAACCCACGCCCATACTGAACCCAGGAGGAAAACCCCCAGCAGGCTCCCCCCTTGCATTATCAGGGCCATCCGCAGGCATGGCAGGGAAAAGAGATGCAGAGGCACCTGCAGCGGCGGCGGCGGCGGTAGGAGACGCAGTGGAAGGAGACGCCGGGAAAGGGAGTGGCGGCGCGGCGAACGAGGTTGGTGGGGGGCCGAAACCAGGCGGAGGGGGAGGAACGCCAGGGGGAAAGATGGGTGGAGGGAAGATGGGAGGCGGCAGTAGAGAGGGGGCAGAGGCGGAGGTCAGAAGCGCCTTCTTTGCATTGGCAGCGGTTTTGAGAAGATCTCTCATGCTTGGTTGGGAGGACGCTAGCAGGGCAGAAGCAGTACCAGGCACAGCCGCTGAACCAAGCCCCGAGGTAGGGGCAGAAGCCGCAGAAGGTTTAGGAGCAGTAGTGGTAGCAGTAGGGCCGGTTGGCTTGGGGAAGCTGGCTCTGAATGGTCGAGAGGGAACGGGTCCCTCGTAGGGTGCCTGCAGCTTTGGCCTGACAGGGAAACCACAGGAAAAACAGAAACGCAAGTGCCAAATGGTCTGTGAACAGCGCAAGTGGCATAAGGTAACAACTTGTGGCAAACGGTGACAAGTGGTGGCAAACGGTGACAAGTAGTGGCAAGTGGTAACAAACGGTGGGGTACAGTAACAGCAAGTGACGAGAACACACCTGTCTCCTTCCCTGAGCCCCTTGCGCTCCAACAACCGACCCTGAGCCTCTGCTGCTGATGACGGCCCCACTCCTCTCCTCCCTGCTGCGTGCAACGGCCCAGACCCTCTGCCCCCCTGCCCATGCACCCTCTGCCCTGCCCGCTCCCTCACCCCGTCTCTCACACCACCAGGGGCCACTCCTCGCCTCTCCACCTTGCTCCTGCCCCCCACTACCTCCACTTGCTCATCCTCCTCCCCCACCTCCAGAACTTCCGACCCAGCTGAGTCTTCAGAAGACACATCCCCCTCCTCCTCCTCCTCCTCTTCATCCTCCTCATCCTCATCCTCATCCTCCTCCTCCCCGTCCTCGTCTTCCTCTTCTTTCTCATCATCCTCTCCCTCTCCCTCCTTGCTCTCGTCCTCACCCTGCTCTTTCCCACGCCCCTCCACAGCAAGTTGTCTGCCCCTATCCCCACCCCCATGCCCCTTTCTTCTAGTCCGAGTGCTGATTCCCCCTTCCCCCTCACCTGCCCCACTCCCTGTCTCCCTTCCATCCTTCACCCCTTCATAACCCTTCCCAACCGTCTTCTTTCTCACTCCTTTACCCGCTTCTTCCCCATCCCCCTCGTCTCCCACCCCCCTCCTTAAACTGCTACTCTTGAACCCACCAAGCCCTTGCACCCGTCCCTCCTGTCCCACCCCTTTCTTCCCTCCACTCACCCCCTTCCCTCTCACACTCTCCCCTTCATCCGCCTCCCCACCCCCACCGTCCGACCCCCCTCGCAGCAACCTAGATCTCACCACCACATCACCCCTCCCCTCTGCCCCATCCTTTCCTCGTTTCTTCTCAGGCCCATTCACCCCTGCTCCTTGCTCCCCACTCCCACCCATCTCCCCAGGAGCCTTTCCCCATGCACCTTTCCCCCCTGCTGTCGCTTTCATCCCCCTGGGAGACACAAGATTTATCGACCCCCCTGCAGACCCCGAACCAGAGGAGCCAGCTAGCGCCGACGCAGCAGCAGATGCGATCCCACCGCCACCAGCACCAGCAGCAGCGGCGGCCGCAGCGGCAGCAGCAGCAGCACGCATGGCGGCTTCTCGCGTCTGCTCGTCCATCTGGCCCCTCTCAGCTTCTAGCGTGTGCTGCAGCTGCTGCAGAAGATCCGTGAGAGAGGATGACGGGACAGCAGCAGCGGCGGCGGCAGCAGTTGCAGCTCCCGCTGCCTGCTGCTGTGCTGCCACTCTCCCTTTCCTCTCCACCTGCTCCCTCACCTGCTGCTGCTGCTTCTGCACGCGCCTCTGGTTCCTCCTCTGCTGCTCCTGCTGCTGCTCTTCCTGCTCCCTGCGCAGGGCTTTCTGACTAGCCGGCAGAAGCTGCAGCGTGCCTCTCTCTAACAGCATCTGCTGGTAACGCCGAGTCCAATACAGAAACGCTCTTCCCGGAACCTGCCCCGCTTGCTGCTCATGCACCGCACTGTACCCCTTCCCACTCATCTTTCTCCTCTTATACACCCTCAAATCCCCCACAAACTCCCGCCTCACGGCTCCTGCTCCAAGCACCGCCCCCTCACACACACTTAACTCAACCTTAACATACTCGCCCCCAGCCTCCCCTCCTGCCACCACACTCATTCCCACTTGCACCGCTCTGCCTGCTCCCTCTTCCCCATCCCCCTCCCCCAGCAGCCCCATCTGCCCGAGTTCCTTCCAAATCTCCTCTGAATCTCGCTTTCTCCACGTCCTGGGGCTGGGCCGTTGGCCACCTGCGCCTGCAGCACCACCACTCGCACCACCACTAGCACCACCTCCTGCTGCCCTGGAACCGTCCCCTGCTCCTCCTGCTCCTCCTCCTCCTAATCCTGCTCCTCCTGCTGCTGCTGCTCCTGCTGCCGCCGTCCCAGTCCCCCTGAGCAGCTCTTTCCCACCCTGCTTTCTGCCCTCCTCACTAGCGTCAGCGCCAGCACCATCCCACCGCGCTTTCCTTTTCATACCCACAAGCGATTCACCCACAGGACTCTTTCCTGATTGCCCACCAGGACCACCCACCTGCCGCCCTCCCACATCCCCCCTCGCGTCTGCCTTGCCCTTGCCTCCCATCTGGCCCGGTCGCTTCATCACCACCCCCTCTTTCTCCAGCTCCTTCCTCCCTCGTTCCATCCTCGCATCTTTCAGCTCTTTCTCCCTAGACAGAGGTCTCTTTTCGCCTTCCCTCAATTTGTCCACGCCTCTCCTGCTTTCTCTCGACCCTTGTTCCCTCGCTCCTTGTTCTCTCCCCCATTGTTCCCTCACCCCTTGCTCCTTCCCCTCTTGTCCCCTCAAACCTTTCTCCCTCGCCCCCTCCACCCCCACTTTCCCCTCACTCTCCTTCTCCACCCCACTGCCTTTCTCTTCTCCCTTGCCCTCCCTCTCCCTCCCAACCCCACGCCCAGAACCACCCTCCGCCCTCTCCGCCCTCTCCCCCTCTCTGGCCTGCGCGCCTTGCGCCCTCTGAAGCACCTCAAGCCCTTTCAGTGCTCTCCTCTCCCCCGCCCCTCCCTTCTGCCCTCCCTGCAACAATGCCTGCACGCCACTCTTCACTCCCTCTCCCCTCCCTTCCCTCTCCGGCTCTTTTGCCTTCCCTGCACTCGACCGCGTCTGCCTCTCCTCCCCTTGACCAGACTCACGGGAAAACGCCACACCATCAGCACCAGAACCGCCAGCACCAGCAGCGCCGCCAGCACCAGCAGCGCCGCCAGCACCAGAGCTAGCAGCACCAGCAACACCAGCAGCAGCAACCGTCGCCACAGCACCAGCAGCGGAGGCAGCTGCAGGGGCTTTCACCCACCCGCCCGCGCCCTGCACTCTCACCGCTCCCAGTATCTCAATCGCCGGCCGCTGCTCCAACCTCGCCCTCCCATCCCTGCCCCTCGCCTCCTCCTCCTTCTCACCAGCATCCCTCCCACTCATCTCCTCCGCTTTTCCCCCTTCCACCGCCTTCTCTTCAAACTCCACGTGACTCCCTACAGCCTCTTGAACCACCACCTGTACCAGCTCCCCACCAGCACGAGCACCTCCTCCGCTTCCGTCTGTAAACACGTTCACTTGAACCATTGCCGCTGCCACAGATTGCCTTTCCTTCGTCCCTGCAGAAACCTCCGTCTCGCTGCTGCTTCCAGCCACAGTACGACCTGTATCTTCCTCCATTCGCACAGAAACTCTCTTACTCGCACTCTCAGCAGCACATGCCTCTTGCTTCACGCCCACAATCCCTTCTCCACCCCCGTCCTTCACCTCGCCTTCGCACTTCCCCTCCTCCGTCTGCTCGCCCTTTTCCCCATCCGCCTTCACACCAACTTCTTGCGACGCCCCCGCCTTCTTATACCCTTCCCCCGCCGTTGCAACCTCTCTCTCTCCCACTCCTCCATCACCACTCTTCTTTTCCTCAGCTACCGCTGCACCACCATCCTCAACACCCTCCTCCCCATCCCTCCCATCCGCACCATCCTTCCCTCCACCTACTCCCTTCCTACCACCGTTCAAGACAGCTTCTATACCACTCGCCGCCACGCCCTCGCGCCCGTCCCCACTCTCCCCCGCTTCCTCCCCGCCCGCCTCAAGCCCCGCCCCCCCATCTCCCGCCCCATCTCTCCTCTTCTCCGCTGCGCCCACATCCCCCAGCTCTTCCAGCCGTTTCCGCTTCCGCCACGCGGAGTTGAGAATATCCGGGCCCACAACGTGAAAATCCTTCACTATCCCCCCCCGAGCGTCCACTCCTTGCAACCCCAACCCCTCCCCATCCTCCGCTCCCTCCCCATTCCGCCCCTCTCGCTCCCCGTTTCCCAGCAGCGCCTCTGTCGGAAATCTTCCCCCTTCGCCGTTTTCCAAGGGGCGGGTAGCTACTGGGGAGGTCCCCAGTGCACCTACCGCATCCTCGCCCTCCCCCTCCCCCTCCCCCTGCCCCATATCTTGGCTTGCCTCCCTGTCTGGACCAGCCTGGGCTAATCCCGGGGCACCTGCAGCGGCGGCAGCTGCGTCCCCTGCATGCTCGGGCTGCGCTCTAGGGTCAGCAGAGTCTGCGGTTGCAGCAGCGGCCTGGTCTGGCTGCTGCAGCACGAAGGAAAAGCACGGGAGAGGGGTGGGGGAGCAGAAGGGCGGGTGGGAAGGAGGGGAGGACTATGGTTGCAAGCCGATAGCTGGAGATCAAATCACAAGACAAACAGCCCTAGCACTCTTAAAGCCCTTCTTGACCCACCTGTGCAGCAGCTGCGGCGTCTTCCGCGCCCCCCGACCTCTCCCCCACCGCCTGTGCCCGCCCCGCCGCGCCCCCCTGCTCCCCCTCCGCCTGGCCTTCCTTCCGCCTATCCTGCAGCTCGCACATCATTGCCAGCCCAATCGAGAAGTCCGCCGATACTCGCCTGGCGGTCGGCGCAGTCAGCTGCTCGCGCAGTTCCGCGGAAAAGGGGGTGACATCCGCGGGATTGCACGCGCGGCTGCGCGGGTGGGGTCGGAAACATAGGGCGAGGAGGGGAGAGGGGAGTGGAGGGGGGGGTAGAAGGGAGAGGAGGAGGCGGAGGGGGGGGGATGGTTAGATACGAGGCTCTGGGGTGATTGGTCTTGCCATTCAGGAGGGAAAAGGACGAGTGGCTCAACTGGCAAATGGAGAATTCAGCGAAGTTTTGATCATACGTGCATCCCATCCCACATGCCGTCCTACGAGCGACATACGAGTTCCCATGACTAGCTGGAAGGAGGTGGAGGGACTCACAATTGCCCGGATGGGAAGAAGGTTACATAGACCTTGTTTGGCTTATATTTCAATTTCACATCAGCTTTCTGTGCTTCCTCTGCGCTTATGACCTGTGGGACAGGTGAGAGGGAGAGTGACGTAGGGTGGAGGATTCGAGAGTGAGTACGACATATGAGAGAAGCAGAGGGTGGAAAGAGGCGCTGATTGGCCGAAACTGACGGCCCGACCGGAATCCACCGGTCAAGCGTCAGTTTGTAACGGATACGCTCCTAACGATCCCCCACGAGCATTTTCGGTGTTACGACATTCTTTCATGCCAAGCCGCGCGGCGACAGCCAGCCGGATTCGTCGACAGCTGTCAGAATCTGACCGTAACGAGCGAAAGGACGGAGAGCTTGCGCAGTAAGATGCTACGGGCAACGAACGATCTGGAACCAAGAGAGGCGCGCGAGAATTGAAACGTGAAGACCCTTCGGAGGAGACGCATTAATCACTAGTGTGCTCCGACTATTGAAGGGACCTGATTCGCAAGCTAGTTAAGATCCGAAAAAAACGATGCGCAGGTTCTGCTCGGAGATACTAAGACGAAGAGAAGACGAGCGGGGAAGCGAGGAAGGAACGTGAGAGAGCAAGTGAGCGAGTGATTGGGACCTTGGCGGGCCAAGGCTGGAATCCCTTGACTTTGGCGAGCACGAGATCTCCCTCCTTCACGTCGGCTATAACTTTCTTCTTAGCCGGAGGCATGACTGCTGATCGAGTTTACGACATGGCAGGGTGAACTGAACGTGCGGATCGCAACCGCGATCTGGTTACCAGATCCGCGCCAAAAATGAGCCTACGAGCAGGTGAGGCTTGGCAGCAAGCATCTTAATTCCTAAAGCTGGGTGCGAGACGGCAACAACTGCATAGCTGGCTGGCCGGAGCGCCTTGGGTGCGAGATTAGGGCATGGAGGATTCGTGACGTCAGAGGGTTTGAAGAGTGATGGTATGGGAGGGGGCGGGTGTGGCTGCGGGCATGTGGGATGGGGGAGGAAAGAGCGGGGCAGAAAAGGGACGCGGAAGGGAAAGGGGGAAATGCGGAAGAGGCACAGGACGCGCAGATGGAAGGGGACCCACTCGATTTTCCGCCTTCATCGGGAAGAGCGAATCTGGCTGGATTTATATCCCAGTTGTCTTGCTAGAAGTTGCTTCGATTGGAGGTATGCTGAAAAGGGCTGGAATTGTCTGAAAAGATATCATGTGTAGTCAAATTTTTAAGCTTTGACCTTTATGGTACTGTGCAATAAAGTTGTCTAGTTCAACGAATACTATCTTCGTCTATACCTGGCGTTGCCACACTCCCCTGGCGCAGTTCAGCAAGAGAAATCATTTAAATAAAAAAGAACCAACAAGGTCCTGCACCACAGCCTGACATCAATGTGTAGCTTTCTGGTTTTGGGCTTCACTCTTTCATGGGTACATAGGCACACAGCAGCACTTGGTTTGGTTGGGATGTTCCTTCTTTGTCACGTCTAGAAGATAAGTACGGTGTGATTTAGTTGTACAACAGAAAAACCTTACAAACACGTAACAGCTGAAAAACAAAACGCAGCCCACCAAAAGGGAAACCAGGAAAACCGATGGTAAGAGAAAACTTTACAGAGAACTATTATCAAAACATTGAGAATAGCATTTGATGAAGTGAGATGGAGGCCGTATGATGTCACCTTCAGCCTAGAGCAGGAGGTGCTTGAAGCATGTCCATGAACTTTATTGCCTGCCATTGTGGGTGAACGAAAGAATAAGACATGATAAGAAAGCCATGTGCATCTCACAAGCAAAATTTGAGATGAGTTGGCCACCAACAACAGAAACATGCTACTGTGATTGATACCAAGCGAGACAGAGAGGCAAGGGAAAGGAAGGGAGGCGAAAAAAAAAAAAAAAAAAAAAAACGACAAATGTAGCTGTGGATCCTCCCTCATTACTCACCTTAACCTTGGCTTTCCCGCTTCCATGGATAGCCACCTCCTTCACTGCCCCTTCCACACCAATCCTTGCCACCTCCCATCTGCAATTCAGGCTCCCTCCCACCATAGCTGTCAGCCCTGATATCGCTCGCTCCACACACGTCCCTGTGGGTCCACCCGCGCGCACCACCCCCACCAGCGCCTCCATCCCCCCTCTCCGCTGCACCTCCGCTCTGCCCTCCTCACTCTCCGCAAGCAACGCCAACACTGCCAGCGCCCGCTCGGCAGTAGCCACTGCGTCATCCTCCGTGCGGCTCGTCCGCTGCGTCCTCCTCTCTGCACCGCGCGATCTGCTGCTGCATGTGAGGTGCGAGGCCGCAGCATGGCCGACAAGTTCGAGTAGCAGCGGCACGGCTCCTGCGTGCACCAGCCGTGGCCGCACTGCTGGGACAGATGCGAGGCTCTGTAGCGCTGCTGCCGCCTCCCTCCGCCCCTTGCAACTCTTGCTGCTGCCACTGCCCTGCAACCCACCAGTAGCAGGCGCACCAGAAGCTGCAGCGGGGCAATCAGGAGCGTCAGAAGGAGAATCCGAGAGGAAGTGGACGAGAGCTTCGACGCCACCCGAGTAAGCCATGTGCAGCCTCGTAGCGTCGCTCAGCTTTGACAGCGACAGCAGCGCCACTGCCGCGTTCGCGCGCGTGGACGCGGACGTGGGCGCGCAGCAGGCGCACGCGGGCGCGCACGAGGGCGAGCGCGCGGAGCACATGAGGCGGATGAGCGGGGGGACGGCGCCCGCCTGGCAGATGGTGGCCTTCATGTCGCGAGTGATGCTCAGATTCACCAGACACGATATCGAGTAGTCCACTAACGGGCTAGTCAAGGCGCGCTCGCGGCCTCCCTGCGCTGTCGCTTCATTTCCGCCTTCCTCGCACGAAGCGGAATTAAGTCTAGTACCGCCGAGCGGCGCGCCAGTTTCCGTCGCCGCGCCGCCTCCGCCATCGAGGATAAGCGACGCGACGCTGGTGTCGCGGGTGGCGGCGACGTGAGGCGCAGTCGCGGCGAGATTCACGATCGACACGAGCGCGGGGATTGCGCCGACGGCCACGATTGAGCTCCGCACCGCGTCGCTCTCCCGCGCCAGGTCCCGCAGCGCCCTCGCCCCGCGCACCTGCTCCGACTGGCGGGTCGCCACGAGCTGATTATACGCGACGCGCACGCTTGTTAGCGACGCGCTGTCGATCGCTCCCGGCTGCTTTGATTTGCAGACAGCATCGTCTGCTCCCCACTTGCCGCTGCGCGAACCACACTCAAGATCGCCGCCGCACTCGCTGCCGTCGCCGTCGCTACCGCTCCCCTTGCAATCTCGTTGTGCCGTCCGCTCGCAACCTGGGGCCCAATCACCCCTCGCTTCCGCTTTACTAGCTTCGCAATCTCTCCGCCCGTTCGCTTTCCGCCGATCGTTTTCCGCCTCTTCCCCGTCCCCGCTGCTTCCCGTGCCACCGCTGCCCCGCAATATCACGCCGCGCGGGCTTGGCACTCCAGGACTCGGCGTTCCAGACGGACTGCCCGCGCAATCCAGCTTTAGTTGCCGGTTGACCGTCGCCAGCATGTCTCCGTCAGCCGGCGGGTTGAGCGACGCGGCGCGCCCGTCAGAATCAGAAGGCGAAACGCATGCGGCGACGCGAGGCACGCGACCCGCCGCTAGCAGTGCTGCGGCAGCCTCATGATTCGCTATAGACGCACTCGCTTCCTGTTGCAGTTCCGCGTTAGCGAACGGAGTTTCGGTGAGTGGGTCGACTGGGTCCGACAGCGTTCCTAGCCACTCGGTCACTTTCCGGTGTTGCTGCTGCTGCTGACGTGCCCAATCGATCGCCAACCCGCTGCTGCTTGCATGCTGCGCCGCCTGTATAAGCAGCAGCTGCGCTTCCGTGAGTCGCGGCGGCAGGGCTGCACCGGTCCCTGGCAGAGTCCCCGACGCCGCGAAGCTCGCAGAGTGCGCGAAATCATACGGAAAGTCGTCGTTACGGTCGCTACTAGAGTGGCGGTTGTTTGCGAAAGCTTTCGCGGACTCTGGCAAGGCCGCTGCAGCGGCGACGTCGGACGCGTGACGCTGCGCCTGAACCTGCCACGTGTGCCGCCGCTGCAAATCATCACCCTTGATTTCGTCCGACCCGCAGTCTTCCGCGTCGCTCCTCGATCCCCGTGAGTGATCTGCGCCGGATTCGCCGGCGTCGCCGGCGAATTCGTCGGCGCGGTAACGCTGGCCTGTTTTTCCCGCTCCAGCGTCCCGTTGCTGCTGCGATACCGCGCGCTGCGTTTGCCTCGGTGGCTTTGATGACCGTTGCCGCCGGTCCTCTTCTTCCGAAATAGTCACGCCAGAAGCTTCGAGCTGGAGCTCCTTCCCCTGTAGGCGGCTATCACTAGTAGCATTGCTGCTGTGATTCTTTGGGACTGGACGAGCATGTGAGTGTGTTGCTCCTAGCAACGGGTTTGGACCAGCGTGAGGAGCGCCGCATTCAACGGAGAAGGACTTGCTGATGACGCCAGACGGCCAGTCACCCGCGCATTCCGCGGAGCTCCCCCCCGCGCCGGTTGTCGCGGTGATTCCACTCGCGCCGCCAATGCTGCGCAATCGCCGCTTGAGTTTCCGCACCAGGTCCATGTCACAATGCTGTGAGCGGGAGGTAGAGACAGAGGCGGACGCACGCTGATACTGCGCGCACCTGGGGAACTGCTATCCCTAATTAGAATAGTCTCAGACGGCTAGAAGCGCTGTCTAGTACTTCATGATGTCTTGAGCTTCGCAGCACACCCTGCTGATTGTTGGGGATACCCAACGCGTGATAGCGAACAATTCGCATTTCTCTACTAATCTCGCTGAGCCGATACTCCCGACTTCGCTCTGGAAGTCGCAGAAAGAATCATGGCGATACTCTCCTAAGGTCAGATTTTAGAAGCTCGGATGCAGAGAGCAAACTTCTTGGTGGTTGCACAGCTATCACAACAAGAGCCTGGTTGGAACACATCACAAACTCGTTTCTGCAATTCTGTTGCGTCGCGACGCGAGCGAGTCGAACCATGGCACGACAGCGCACGTTTTCAAGCAGGACAGTGTACAGCTCCAGTTGCGGTTCAACGACCGCACTGCACAGCAGGGTGTACGTACACAACACATTTGTTCGGTTTTTTCATTAGTAACCGTACAAGACAGCGATGTTTGTTGTGGTCTCTCCCAGTCCCATCAAACGATCAAGTGGTCCCACGAGTTCGTTGGTTGAATGCAAATGGGTTTTTATACGGGCCGTCACAAAACATTTCGTAGTTATCACGAGCAGTCACATGTTCCGCCAATTCTATCATGAATGGTCACATGTTCCGCGAAATCTATCACGAACCATCATACGGGTATCACCCGCCGTCACTCAAAGGCACTAACATATATCACGGGTAGTCACACTCGAAACTTTGCTATCACAGATGAACCCGGGTCAACGAAATGATGACAGGGTTCATCTGTGATAGCAAAGTTTCAAGTGTGACTACCCGTGATATAAGTTAGTGCCTTTGAGTGACAGCGGGTGATACCCGTGTGATGGTTCGTGATAGATTTCACGGAACATGTGACCGTTCATGATAGAATTGGCGGAACATGTGACTGCTCGTGATAACTACGAAATGTTTGTGACGGCCCGTATAAAAACCCAATGCAAATGCTTGTTTTTACTGTACTTGGTTGCAAACCGACAAGGTTGCCCCCCCTGAAAATGCAGGCTCTTCTCGGGCCTGTCCGCGAAATGTTTCCGCCATCCATGTCAGTACACTTTCGGCGAAATGTATGCTAGTGGGGATGTGCGATCCCGTTTACTGGGCGCTTTTTCTGGGTGCACTTTCGACTCCTAAAAGCCCAGTCGTAGCAGCTCGTGTAGGAACGGAACTGTCCCAAACCGTGAAAAGTCTCGGTGTGAGCTCGAAAGTTTGTTGCCTTGAAAACCCTGAAAACCCGAAAGTCTCGGTGCGAGCTTGACTATAGACAAACCCTTAGCAAAGAACAGAACCTGTCCCCCTAACATTCAGCTGTCGTTTCAGCTCTTGTTTCACAGTGTCCCCTCGACAGTCTCCCAAACCGTTATCGTTTGTCCTTGTGACCGTGAACCCGTTGCTGAGGGTCAGGTCGAAAAATGCGAGTGCAACCCAGCTCATCCCGACTGGATTCCGGTATGTTCAACCCCTTATTTGTAAGGTCATAAGAGGCGTAATTCCACCAACGCTTAAACGTATGGCGCTCAGTTTTTGATCATGAGGTGTGTGACCTCAGTCCCAATGTTTACAGGCCGGTAATAGCCTCCGGACTGACAATATATACAGGTCGGGACTAGCAAGTTGTTCAATTTCTGTGCTCGGGAAATGAGTTTTCGTCCTTTCGTATAGCCCCTGTCTGTTTCGATCAGTTGGTGTGAATGCACCAGTTGTATTTTGAGGTTGGTGAAGCCACAGTTGCGCGCTTGCTCTCAAGGCTATGTGGCTGCATTTGAGGGAAAGGGGGAAAGGGGCATTGGCTTGGGATGTCACAGTGCAAGCCATTTTTCGCCTCAAGTGCGTGCGACGCCAAGTCGCCACAGCACTTTTGGCCTCATGCCCCCTTAGGCACGAGGGAAACAAAACTACATGTCCCCTCCTGTACAATGTGAATGCTTAACTCGTATTGTCTCGCTCATATTCCGCATCCCTTACAGTCAAAACAGCGTTACAATAAGGACCTCTACAACACATTCCTGGCTGGAACATGATTGAAACTGGATCCCATGCCTCACGGTTGCGATAAATATGTAATAGGGGAATTTACCCCTCGAATTACATGGCTAGCTATGACCTTTCATATTCTCTTGTATTCCTATATGAACCTGTATATTCTGTTTTCTTATACAAACATATGAATGCTAGTGTTATAATCACTTCCGTCATTTTGCATTCACTCTTGCACTCGTCATCACACGAACCATTCCGCTTTGCATTAACCCTGCGATCAACCTTGAGCAAGATATTGACTAAACCCTCCGTGATAACTGATACGAAAATATTCGAATGCATCGTCATAGTTTTCGACAAAAATCGGTATCCATCACTGACATGCTATTGGCACAACTGCCTCAAAACATGGGAGACATTTTGAAAACATATATGCATTGTTTCACTCTTACTATTTGGTGTAATTACACGCTATTATCCGCATACACAATTATTTGTTGTATGTGCACTAAATAGGATAGGTCACCCCTGTTACACTGTAGAAGGTATAAAATGTTATATCTACCCCCCTATATCCCCTCTTCCGCGATCACACCGGTCTATCGCCACTTCTAGCTCATGTCGTTGTCTCCTTGGTCGCACCGCCTCATTTGGGCCGGTCGTTGCACGCATTGCTACCGCACTCCCGTGCCCAGAAAACCCTACTGGCTCCCTTTACAGGACTGCACATCCCCCTGTTCCCCATAAATCTGGTGGATTTTTTAATAATCTGCAGGACCTCGACGTCATCGCCACGTTTGCAGGACATGAGAGGTTCATGACTCGTATAAGCGCTACCAATGGGGCACCTCTTGGCACGTTTATCCGAAATCCCGCGTCAGGTCTTGTCATGCCGCACACTGCGTCCACCATGGTTCTTGTGTCTAGTCTGGTAGATGTGTTGCTTGTGTCGGTCGCTCAATCACCATGGCGCAACGTCTATGTTACCCCGCTGCGTTACATGGCTAAGTACAGTCTTGTCTCTGGTCTCCTGACGTCGCTCCCCGCTCTCCCTCCCTCGTCTGCGCCGCCGTGCACCTCCTTGCAGCCCCCCACTCCACCTCATATCCTCCTACCTATTCCGACCTTGCACATAGACATTTGAGGCCCTGACCTAGTCCATAGGCTGCGCCAAGGTTTTTCTTGGTCATTGTGGACGACAATTCCCGCTACACCATGATATTTCCATTAGAGCGGAATGCCAATGTGCCTGACATTCTCCACCCGTGGCCAGTAGGCGTCCACACCAAGTGCGCCAAGTTTGTGCTTCGTCGGCACCCCGACTGTGGTGGTGAGTTCACCTTCGGTCTCCTTGTTCTGTTATGTCATACGCAGGGTATCACCCATACCCTAATCCCTTTCGGAATCGCCGCAGCAAAATAGGGTAGCTCATGTCAAACTCATATGCCATAGTCTGTGTAGGCTGTAGTGGGGTAGACAATATGGGGTACAACACTTTTAGGTTTTCCTACTTGTACCCACCTGCTTGCTAGTTCATTCATTCCTCGTTCTTTCACATGGTATAGAGCAGGTTCCCTAGTGGGAACGTTTCCTAGGGCCCACCGAATATCGATTTTTTTTTTTCTGTCCGGAGCGCGCTTCGCCCTTGCCCGAGTCGCGCCCCGTGTGCCTACCCTCCCGTCGCGTCCCCTGCCCTTAGTGGCCCGTCGCGCTCCCCTACGGCCCCGTAGCGGCCCCTCTCACGGCCTCTCACGGCCCCTCTCACGGCCCCTTCGCGGCCCCTTCACGGCCCCTTCGCGGCACCTTTACGGCCCCTTCACGGCCCCTTCACGGCCCCTTCGCGGCCCCTTCACGGCCCCTTCGCGGCACCTTCACGGCCCCTTCACGGCCCCTTCACGGCCCCTTCGCGGCCCCTTCACGGCCCCTTCACGGCCCCTTCGCGGCCCCCTCGCGGCCCCCTCGCGGCCCCTTCGTGGCCCCTCCGCAGCCCCTTCGCGGCCCCTTCACGGCCCCCCTCGCGGCCCCCCCTCACGGCTCCCTTCGCGGCCCCTTCACGGCCCCCTCGCGGCCCCCCTCGCGGCCCCTTCGCGGCCCCTTCGCGGCCCCCCCTCACGGCTCCCTTAGCGGCCCCTTCGCGACCTCGCCCCGTCGCCAGTCGCGGCCCCGCCGCGTCGCCCCCGCCTCGTCGCGTCGCCCCTGCGGGACCTGCGAGGCGCGGCTCCTGTGCGTCGCGACGCCCCTGCGGGACCCGCGTGGCGTCTCCCCTGCCCGCCGCGGCGCCCTGCCCTAACCCGAACCTGGAGCAGCCGCCACTGCAGCAGCCGCCCCTGGAGCAGCCGCCACTGCAGCAGCCGCCCCTGGAGCAGCCGCCACTGCAGCAGCCGCCCCTGGAGCAGCCGCCCCTGCAGCAGCCGCCCCTGGAGCAGCCGCCACTGCAGCAGCCGCCCCTGGAGCAGCCTCCCCTGCAGCAGCCGCCCCTGGAGCAGCCGCCCCTGAAGCAGCCGCCCCTGGAGCAGCCGCCCCTGAAGCAGCCGCCCCTGGAGCAGCCGCCCCTGCAGCAGCCGCCCCTGGAGCAGCCGCCCCTGCAGCAGCCGCCCCTGGAGCAGCCGCCACTGCAGCAGCCGCCCCTGGAGCAGCCGCCACTGCAGCAGCCGCCCCTGGAGCAGCCGCCACTGCAGCAGCCGCCCCTGGAGCAGCCGCCCCTGCAGCAGCCGCCCCTGGAGCAGCCGCCGCTGCAGCAGCCGCCCCTGGAGCAGCCTCCCCTGCAGCAGCCGCCCCTGGAGCAGCCGCCCCTGAAGCAGCCGCCCCAGGAGCAGCCGCCACTGCAGCAGCCGCCCCTGGAGTAGCCACCCCTGCAGTAGCCGCCCCTGGAGCAGCCGCCCCTGCAGCAGCCGCCCCTGGAGCAGCCGCCCCTGC